GGTTCGAGCTCTCACACTGAGCCGCCCCGTGAGCTCCAGGGTTTGACACCCCGGCCGGCCGGTGTGGTGCAGAGTGGAGAATGTGTATCATTTTCTTAAGTGTTTGATCTACATATACTTTMAAGCCTAATGATCAGGAAGAGAGATTTAATCTGCGAAACAAAGAGGAGCCAATGAACTCTAAGTGACGTCCTGGTGTTAGAAAAGTATTTTTAGTATTATGTCGATTTAGATGTTGACAAAAACTGCAAGTGAGTCAAAACTGCTGTAACTTCCCACCTGTGGAGCTGTCCCCTCATTTCCACAGGTTCCTGCAGACACACCACCCAACAACCACCAAAGATGGAGTTTAAGACTTTATTTAGTATTCCCTTTGGACACGCATGTTCCTCAAATAAATAGATATATAAATAAATAACTTAAAATTCACTATGGAATGCTGTAAAGCACTTGAGTATTTGTTATCCCCTTGATATGGCATTAACCATTTGAATCAATTGAACAATGCACCCAAATAAAATTTGTGTGATAGGAAAAAAACAGCTGTTGCTGTATTTGCTTAGGTACCTTGCGCCAAGAGGAGCACTGTCTGTCAGAGCAGCTGAGGTGTGGACATTACACACCCTTCAGTTGCTGTTGCCCTCCCGCTCTCTGTAGGCTCTGTTCAGCAGCTGGATGTCCTCCTGGTACCCAGCCCTGTCCGAGTGCTGCTTCTGGCTGTTCTGCCGRTGAGCCTCGACGGTGTCTGGGATGGAGATGCTGAAATCGCTGCCGGGGCTGTGCGAGGGGATGAGCAGCGAGTAGGAGGCACTTTCCGCCAGCTCACAGGACACAAACCTGTTCTCCTTGCGCGAGTAGCGCAGAGAGGGCGAGCGTGCCTGCGTGGAGGACTGGCTGATGTTGCTGATGATGGACACGGTATCCAGGGCCTCTTCGTTGTCACAGATCTCCAGCACCTCCAAGTGAATCTTAACGCTCGTGTCAGCAAACGTGTCCCGAGGCTCCCCGGGGCCCGGCTCGTGCCCGACGCTCTTGGAGCGATACACCTCGATTTTCTTGGACAGGGGGGTTATTTTCTGCCCCTCGGWGCTCACCTCGTACGTGGACAAGGAGAGCGTTTTCCCAGAGGGGGCCTGCAGAGACACAGTCCCCTGGAATGCACACAGGGGCACGGCCAGGGCCCCGCTCGYGCGCTGCAGGGGAACAAGGAGCATTAGTGATGAGCAGTGTCCMCATCAAAATCCATTCTAAATGAGCCAAGTATGCCCTGTTCGTTAACTCATCTCACTGCCTTTCCTTGCAGAATTTTAGACACCTGGAATTTATGACTTGAAAGAGTAGCAAGAAGTTTTTAGTGTTATACACCTTAGTGCATGAAGTCGCAAGTGACTGTGACTCACCATGACATCTACAGAATATGAAAAACAGAGTTTAAATAAAAGCTCATACCTTCAGTGCAAGGTTATGTCCTGTTTAGTCAAACACTTTGATTTGTAAGATTGAACACAAGGAACATGGAGGGAATGTCTGAAGCACCTGGGGGAGAATGAGCAATCTCCACTTGCTGGAATGAACACTCCAGGTCTGGAGAATGAGACATTTCCCAATCTCTTAGTGGCTCTTTCCAAAAATCTCCTCAAGTTTCCTCTTGAGAAATCAGTATTTACTGTTGAAATGCAAAAGATCCATCGAGTCTCCTACGTCAYTGCCTAGTCAGTCACTAACTAAATGAGCTCTGCCATTTCCCTCTAGAACACTTCCAGTGTTCAATTCCAGACACCTTCACCTGTTTCTAAAGTACAGAATCTATTTGTCCTCACAAACCCCAAAACAAGTGTGGGAAGCACTGTGGATACAACTGCTGGGRCTAAACCCATGGTTATTGGGCCCCAGGGAGGGATAAATGCATTTATCCCGGCTTTAGGTACCATCAGGTAACATTGATTATTACTGGAATTACTTTCAGTATAAAAACTTATTAATGAGAACAGAATGTGACCTTTATCTTGTCCTTGATACCATTATTAAATACCCATTTTTGCTTCTCATGACACATCCATGCAATAAATAGGAATCCACCAGCAAACCAGAMTCTACTGGTACATCCTGTGAAGTATTTTACCTTCCAGTCCCACTGTTCCCTGCAGTTCAGCTTTCTGGTTTGCAGCCTGACACTGTAATTTCACTGCAGAGTAGCTATGGTTGCCATGAGGGAAAACCTTCCTGACCATCACTGTGAGTCAGGACCAGGTTCCCTGTTCTGTTCCCACTGCCTGAGCAGAGTCTGGGCTGGATTCACCAGGGAAGATATTGTCCACAGGGAAGGCTTGGACGTGTCTGAGTCCCACAGTAGCTGGAATGGGTTCTGACAGACAGATTTCCATTTGGAAATGCTCAGAGCAGCAGCTGGAGGCTGACTGGGACACTGGAACACCATCCCAGCTGGTTCTACAGTGTCTGGTGACAGACTCAAGCACAAGGCCCTTTGCAGACTCTCCCTGACAAYTGCTATTTTCACAAGCTCTGGAATAAGCAGCCAGGTGTGCCAGCAGTGWCACAGTGAAGCAGAGCTGTGCTGGWGTCTGCACCTCCCCACCGGGACAGGTCTGTGCACAGGGGCAGCACCGAGAGCACGCAGTCTGTGCCATGTCCCAGATCTGTGTCACTCTCACCGGGCCATGCTGCCTTCCCAAACAGAAAAGCAGCAATCTAAAACAGCTCGGAGCAGTTTGCATCCCTAATTGCTTTGGTCAAACACAGCTTGAGCTGAAAAAGGTCTATTTTTAGAATGTTTCCAGTAAGGATCCCAACTTTTCTTTCCAGAAACAATGAGTTTTTCTGTTTGTTTTAAAATAGAGGCTTAGTCTTCTACTTCCCTAAGAATTAAAATTAKCTGCAGTGAAATTAATTACTGCAGTGATTTGCCTTTTCTGAGGCTGACTGCAGTAAATGTAGAGCCAAGGGAGTATGACAGGAAGAGACAAGCTCACCCCAGATGGCCTGAGCCCAGCACTTGCCATTGGCCTGCCAGACCTGCATTTACATAAATCAGTACCAGCAAGTGCAACAGAGCATCCAAGGTGAAGACACCTGCACCTCCATGCCAGAGCTTCTGTGCTTCCTAACTCAGCTTCTGTGCTGTGCCTGGTGTTTCAGGCAATGTTCACAACTTTCCTGCAGTGAGTGAGATGCTCTGKATTCATCATGTTAAAATACTCTGCCTGCACGGGCTCCTCCTCAATGAAGTCTCTTGCACAGCCTCCCCCTCCCTGTCCTTGCAGGGCACATAAATAGATCCTGTATGGAGTCCCTTCSAAGAGTTTGCTTGAGGCAACTCACAGATGAGGTAGAGAAAAATAATCAGCAAGCCTGGGTTATACTGCCAGCCKGGGAGATTTCTGTTGCCTGAGGGCACTGAAGCATAGGCAAAATAAGACATGACATATTTACACTCAATCTCTTTGGAGAGGGAGATACACAGGTAGTTTATGAGATGTTAAAGCTATTTTTCAAAAATGCAGCCAAGCAGAAGTTAGAAATGACAAGTACCAATTTCTCTCTCCCTCTCCATCATGTATTCAATAAACCCTGCTGCCTTATTCTCTGATGCCACTTTTATTCCCAAGAAATCACTTTGATGGAGCAGCTCTTTACTCACAGAACAGACAATGAGGAAACAACCAGCTCCACAATCATTACTGTCACCCCAAGGAAGTGCCACTCTCCAAGCCCAAAGCTTCCAGAAGAAACCAAAGGCATCCCGGCTCCTGCCTGGCACCCTGCTCTTCAAAYAGCTCAATCAAACTCACTGATCCCACAGCCATGGGGACAGCTGCTCTCCCTCCTACTATCACTTCTTACAGCTTCTCCTCTSAAAGAGAAAATTAGCAGCACTCTAATAAGAACCCCTGTATTTATGGAGTCCTGTAAGCACCCCTGTATTTATGGGCTCCAGTAAGAGCCCCTGTATTTCCTGCAGGACATGGCCAGTCAATGCTAGGGGGAGATTCCTTTTTTAAAACACATGGGAAATGCAGAATGATGAAAAYAGAGTGATTTTTCTTAGACACTTTGGTACTTCCAGATAGGACGAATACAAGAGATGGTTTTCAACTTATTTAATGTGTGSCCCAATTTGATCTTTCATCCTACATACACCTGAACAATGCATTAAAGTTATTTTTACAAAGCTTAAAGGAGTTTCACACTCTGCCCTTTCCCAGCAGCAAAGCAAATGTCAGCTGTAAAGCTCTGGCAACTCCTGCTGAATGTCAGAACCAAGCAGAGCTGTGACTCCAAAGCCTGGGACTTCTACCCCATAGGAGCCCTAATGCCTGGCTTTGG